TTGTTGACCAGCAGACAAGTGTATGCTTCATGACATCCTCTAATTAATGGAGAGGAACCTTATGGTATAATAAAAATCAGGCTTAGTAAAAGGCTCTCTTGGGATCTCTGCCTGTGATTATAGAAAGAAAAGAATACCTGGTTTAATTGACATTTATTAATTGCTCTTGACTACTCATATTAACTCACCTCTACACTGATAATGGCTTAAAGAGATAACCTTGATAGGACTAGTTGATTCAAAAAAGGCCTGGGTGTGATATGAATTTCAGAAATACAGATCTCCTCTTAGAAATATTGAGGTTCCAAAGGGCAAATGCCAAGTCCAGTTTTCTCTAAGTCCAAATGGACACCATCCACCTGAATGGAGTTACATAACTCACTTCTGTTATGGCTTAGGTTTGATTCTTAACTAAGTTCACCAAAGAGGAAAATTATTTTCATAATTCCTATACTTTTTTAAAATTTAAATTTTAAATTTAAATTTAAATTCAATTTAATTAACATATAGTGTATTATTAGTTTCAGAGGTAGAATTTAATGATTCATCAGTTGCATATAATATCCAGTGCTCATTCTGTCAAGTGCCCTTTCCATCAAGTGCCCTTAACCACCCAATTACCCCATCCTCCCACCCACCTCCCCTCCAGCAACCCTCAGTTTGTTTCCTATAGTTAGGAGTCTCTTATGGTTTGTCTCCCTGTTTTCACCTTATTTTTCTTTCCCTTCCCCTGTGTTCATCTGTTTTGTCTCTTAAATTCTACATATGAGTGAAATCATATATTTGTCTTTCTCTGACTGATTTATTTTGCTTAGCATAATACCCTCTAGTTTGAAATTCTTGAAAAGTGGCAATACATTGAATAAAGCATCCTTGTTTTAGGAGCTTCAACATTTAATATTTAAAAGGCCATATTTTCAGAAACCCTTTCCAAATTGGTAGGTTTGGGGAGAGAGTTGTGTTTTCTGTGGTGTTTCATAAATTACTTGGTAGAATAAAGAACTTTTAAAATGTAGTTACCGTATTTCATGTGATCCTCCACTATGGAAGATCCATTAATAATAAACAATACTGAGTTTATGTTTTTCTCTGATAGCAAGGAACTCTTTCCTTTCCTTTGAAGTGGGTTCACTCCCCTGAAACATGATGTTTCTGAATTAAGTTGCTATTGGGTTGAGGAGTGGGAAGGAGAACAAAACTGAAATATTTTTCTAATTTATCATGGAGGTTGGGCAAGTGATGAAGCTTCCATCAGCACTCTTTATTGTTGATAAACAGGAAAATGTCTGAGCTGGGCAGGGGCTCTAGTCTCACTAATTTTATGAAGTCCTTACAGAGGGAGTGTGCACACTTTCATTCACTCCTTCTTTATTTATCTCCTCCTTCTTGGCTTCAACTCCTTTGGAAAAAATGACAGACTCAAAAAAGGTGCAATCCCCTTAATATGTACCTCGTTTAAAACAACTATTTAACTGACTCAGCCTACTCTGTTAGCACTATTTTGTACATGTTACTTCTAACATGCAGTTCTTTCAAAACTTCTCTTGTTCCTTGTATTCTACGAAAGTATTTTCCTGGAGATCATTTGATTTGTACTTTTCCTAATGAGCATGGGAAACTTTCTTAAGGTTGCTGATCTCTCCTTAACCTATTAAAGCTGCTTACACCCAAAGATTATTAGGTTAAAAAATGGTTGAATATCAAAAATGTCACATGGTTCAAGCTTTATTTGCTGTGGCTAGAGATTGATGAAGAATTTTATTTTATTTTATTTGTAGAAAGCATCTTTGTTTTTTTTCTGTCAAGATTTTATTTAAATTCAAGAGAGTTAACATATAGTGTAGTATTAGTTTCAGGGCTAGAATTTAGTGATTCATCACTTGCATATAACACCCAGTTATATGCCCTCCTTAATGCCCATCACCCATGTAGCTCATCCCCCACCCACTTCCCCTCCAGCAACCTTCAGTTTGTTCCTCTAGGTAAGAGTGTCCCGTGGTTTGCTTCCCTTGCTGTTTTTATCTTATTTTATTTTTCCTTTCCCTCACCCATGTTCATCTGTTTTGTTTCTTAAATTCCACATATGAGTAGAATCATATTGTATTTGTCTTTCTCTGACTATTTCACTTAGCATTATACACTCTAGTTCCACGTCATTGCAAATCGCAAGATTTCATTCTTTTTTTTAAAGATTTATTTATTAATTTTAGATAGAGAAAGTTTGAGGTGTGAGTGGGGGGGAGGGCCAGAGGGACAAAATCTTTCAAGCAGACTCCCCACTGAGCGTGGAACCTAACACAGAGCTCAATCCCATGACCCATGAGATCATGACCTGTGCCAAAACCAGGAGTCAGTTGCTCAACCAATTGAGCCACCCAGGAACCCCAAGATTTAATTCTTTTTGATGGCTAAGTAATATTCCAATACCACATCTTTATCCATTCATCAGTCGATAGACATTTGGGCTCTTTTCACATTTTGGTTATGGGGGTAGTGCTGTTATAAATATTGGGGTGCAATGTGCCTTTTCAAATCACCATTTTTGTATCTTTTAGGAAATACTTAGTACTTCAATTGCTGGGTCATAGGGTAGCTCTATTTTTAACTTTTGAGCAACCTTCATACAATTTTCTAGAGTGGCTGCACCAGTTTGCATTCCCACCAACAGCATAAGAGAATTCCCCTTTCTCTGTATTGTCACCAACATCTGTTGTTTCCTAAGTTGTTAATTTTAGCCATTGTGACCAGAGTGAGGTGGTATCTCATTGTGGCTTTGATTTGTATTTCCCTGATGATGAGTGATGTTGAACATTTTTCCACCTGTCTGTTGGCCATTTGTATGTCTTCTTTTGAGAAATGTCTGTTCATGTCTCCTGTCCATTTCTTAAGTGGATTTTAAATTTTTTGGATGTTGAGTTTGATATGTTATTTGTAGATTTTGGTTACAAGCACTTCATCTGATATGTCATTTGCAAATATCTTCTCACATTCCATTGGTTGCCTTTTAGGTTTGTTGACTGTTTCCTTTGCTGTGAAGAAGCTTTTTATCTCCATGAAGTCCCAGTAGTTCATTTTTGCTTTTGTTTCCCTTGCCTCTGGAGATGAGTCTAGTAAGAAGTTGCTGTAGGGTGCTTGAGTGACTCAGTTGGTTGAGCACCGAACTCTTGGTTTTGACTTAGGTTATGATGTCAGGGTTGTGAGTTGGAGCCCTGCATTGGGCTCCATGCTCAGCAGGGAGTCTGCTTGAGATTCTCTCTCTCCTTCTCCTTCTTCCCTCCCCTACTCATACACACACACTCTCTCTCTAAAATAAATAAATAAATCTTAAAAAAATAGCAAATAAATAAAAATCAATAAATAAGTTACTGCAGCTGAAGTCAAAGAGGTTGCTACCCGTGTTCTCCTCTAGGATTTTGATGGATTCCTGTCTCACATTTAGGTCTTCTATCCATTTTGAATTTATTTTTGTGTATGGTGTAAGAAAGTGGTTCAGTTTCATTCTTCTGCATGTTCCTGTCTGATTTTCCCTGCACCATTTTTTGAAGAGACTGTCTTTTTTTTCCATTGGATATTCTTTCCTGCTTTGTTGAAGATTAGTTGACCATATAGTTCTGGGTCTATTTCTGGGTTCTCTATTCTGTTCCATTGATCTATGTGTCTGTTTTTGTGCCAGTACCATACTGTCTTAATGATTACAATTTTGTAAAATAGCTTGAGGTCTGGAGTTGTGATGCCTCCAGCTTTTTTCTTCTTTTTTTCTTTTTCAACATTACTTTGGCTTTTCAGGGTCTTTTCTGGTTCCATACAAATTTTAGAATTGTTTGTTCTAGCTTTGTGAAAAATGCTAGTGTTATATTTGTAGGGATTGCACTTAATGCGTGGATTGCTTTGGGTGGTATAGACATTTTAACAATATTTCTTTCAATCCATGAGCATGGAATGTTTTTCCATTTCTTCATGTCCTCTTCAATTTCTTTCGTAAGTTTTTTAGTTTTTAGAGTACAGATCTTTTACTTCATTGGTTAGGTTTATTCCTAGGTATCTTACCATTTTTAGTGCAATTGTAAATGGGATCGATTCCTTCATTTCTCTTTCTGCTGTTTCATTATTGGTGAATAGAAATGCAACAGACTTCTGTGCATTGATTTTATATCCTGTGACTGCTGAATTCCTGTATCAGTCCTGGTAATTTTTTGGTGGAGTCTTTTGGGTCTCCTACATAGAGTATCATGTCATCTGCAAATAGTGAAAATTTGACTTCTTCTTTGCTGATTTGAATACCTTTTCTTTTTTTGTTGTTGTCTGATTGCTGAGGCTAGGACTTCCCATACTATGTTGAACAACAGTGGTGAGAGAGGACATTCCTGTCATGTTCCTGACCTTAGAGGAAAAGCTCTCAGTTTTTCCCCATTAAAGATAATATCAACTGTGGGTCTTTCGTATATGGCCTTGTGATGTTGAGGTATGTTTCTTCTACCCCTACTTTCTTGAGGGTTTTTATCAAGAAAGGATGCTGTATTTTGTCAAATGCTTTTTCTGTGCCTATTGAGAGGATATATGGTTCTTATCCTTTCTTTTATTAATGTAGTGTATCATGTTGATTGATTTGTAGATATTGAACCATCCCTGCGGCCAAGGAATAAATCCCACTGGGTCATGGTAAATAATCCTTTTGATGTACTTTTGGATTCAATTAGCTAGTATCTTGTTGAGAAAATTTGCATCCCTATTCATCAGGGATATTAGTCTGTAATTCTCCTTTTTAGTTGGGTCTTTGTCTGGTTTTGGAATCAAGGTAACTCCCAGAATGAGAAGGAAAGTTTTCCCTCCATTTCTAGTTTTTGGGATAGTTTCAGAAGAATAGGTATTAATTCTTCTTTAAATGTTTGGTAGAATTCCCTCGGGAAGCCATCTGGCCCTGGACACTTGTATGTTGGGAGATTTTTGATTACTGATTCAATTTCTTATTTTTAAAAAAATTTTATTTATTTATTTGACAGAGAGTGAGAGCACAAGCAAGGGGAGCAGCATGCTGAGGGAGAGGGAGAAGCAGACTCCCAAGATCCTGGGATCATGACCTGAGCCAAAGACAGACATTTAACCGACTGAGACACCCAGGTACCCCTGATTCAATTTCTTTCTTTTTTTTAAATTAAATTAAATTAAATTTTATTATGTTATATTTGTCACCATACAATACAGCATTAGTTTTTGATGTAGTGATCCATGATTCACTGTTTTCATATATCACTCAGGATTCAATGAAGTATGTGCCCTCCTTAATACTCATCACCAGGCTAACCCATCCCCTCACCCCCCTACCGTCTAAAACCCTCAGTTTGTTTCTCAGCGTCCATAGTCTCTCATGGTTTGTCTCCCCCTCTGGTTTCCCCCTCTTCATGTTTCCCTTCCTTCTCCTAATGTCCTCCATGCTATTCCTTATGTTCCACAGATAAGTGAAACCATATGATAATTGACTTTCTCTGCTTGACTTATTTCACTTAGCATAATCTCCTCCAGTTCCATCCATGTTGATGTAAAAGTTTGGGTATTCATCCTTTCTGATGGCTGAGTAGTATTTCATTGTATATATGGACTACATCTTCTTTATCCATTCATCTGTTGAAGGGCATCTTGGCTCTTTCCAGAGTTTGGCTATTGCGGACATTGCTGCTATGAACACTGGGGTGCATATGGCCCTTCTTTTCACTACATCTGTGTCTATGGGGGTAAATACCCAGTAGTGCAATTGCTGGGTCATAGGGTAGCTCTATTTTTAAATTTTTGAGGAACCTCCACACTGTTTTCCAAAGCGGCTGTATCAACTTACATTCCCACCAACAGTGTAAGAGGGATCCCCTTTCTCCACAACCTCTCCAACATTTGTTGTTCCTTTCCTTGTCAATTTTTGCCATTCTAACTGGTGTAAGGTAGTATCTCAATGTGGTTTTGATTTGAACTTCCTTAATGGTAATGATGATGAACATTTTTTCATGTCTCTGTTAGCCATTTGTATATCTTCTTTGGAGAAGTGACCATTCATGTCTTCTGCCCATTTTTTGACTTGATTATTTGTTTTTTGGGTGTTGAGTTTGAGAAGTTCTTTATAGATCTTAGAAATTAGTGTTTTGTCTGTAGTGTCATTTGTAAGTATCTTCTCTTATTCTTTGGGTTGCCTCTTTGTTTTGTGGACTGTTTCCTTTGCTGTGCAGAAGCTTTTATCTTGATAAAGTCCCAAAAGTTCATTTTCACTCTTGCTTCACTAGCTTTTGGAGACTTATCTTGAAAGAAGTTGCTGTGGCCAATGTCGAAGAGGTTACTGCCTATGTTCTCCTCTGGGATTTTGATGGATTCCTGTCTCACATTGAGGTCTTTCATCCATTTTGAGTTTATCGTTGTGTATGGTGTTAGAGAATGGTCAAGTTTCATTCTTCTGTATATAGCTGTGCAATTTTCCCATCACCATTAATTGAAGAGACTGTCTTTTTTTCCATTGCATATTTTTTCCTGCTTTGTCAAAGATTATTTGACCATAGAGTTGAGGGTCCATATCTGGGCTCTCTATTCTGTTCCATTGGTGTATATGTCTGTTTTTGTGCCAGTACCATGCTGTCTTGGTGATCACTGATTTGTAATATAGCTTGAAATCAGGCAATGTGATGCCCCCAGCTTTGTTTTTCTTTTTCAACATTCGGGGTCTTCTCTGATTCCATACAAATTTTAGTTTGTTCCAGCACTTTGAAAAATGTCATTGGAATTTTGATCAGGATGGCATTGAAGGTATAGATTGCTCTGGGTAGCATAGACATTTTAAAAATGTTTATTCTTCTGATTCATGAGCATGGAATGTTTTTCCATCTTTTGTGTCTTCTTCAATTTCTTTCATGAGTGTTCTGTAGTTCCTAAAGTATAGATCCTTTACCTCTATGGGTAGGTATATTCCGAGGTATCTTATGGTTTTTGGTGCTATTGTAAATGGAATCATTTCTCTAATTTCTCTACAGTTGCATTGTTAGTGTATAAGAAAGCAACTGATTTCTGTGTATTGATTTTATATCCTGCCACATTACTGAATTGCTGTATGAGTTCTAGTAATTTTGGGGTGGAGTCTTTTGGGTTTTCCACATAAAGTATCATGTCATCTGCGAAGAGAGAGTTTGACTTCTTCTTTGCCAATTTGAATACCTTTTATTTCTTTTTGTTGTCTGATTGCTGTTGCTAGGACTTCTAGTACTATGTTGAACAACAGTGGTGAGAGTGGACATCCTTGATTTGTTCCTGATCTTAAGGGAAAGGCTCTCATCTTTTCCCGATGGAGGACGATATTCTCTGTGGGTTTTTCATAGATGGATTTTATGAACTTGAGAAATGTTCCCTTTATCCCTATACTCTGAAGAGTTTTAATCAGAAAAGGATGTTATATTTTGACAAATGCTTTTTCTGCATCAATTGAGAGGACCATATGGTTCTTCTCCCTCCTCTTATTAATGTGTTCTATCACATTGATTGATTTGCGAATGTTGAACCACCCTTGCATCCCGGGGATAAATCCCACTTGATTATGGTGGATGATCCTTTTAATGTATTATTGGATCCTATCAGCTAGGATTTTGTTGAGGATTTTAGAATCCATATTCATCAGGGATATTGGTCCGAAGTTCTCTTTTTGATGGGGTCTTTGCCTGGTTTGGGGATTAAGGTAATGCTGGCCCCATAGAATGAGTCTGGAAGCTTTCCTTCTGTTTCCATTTTTTGAAACAGCTTCAGGAGAATAGGTATTATTTCTTCTTTGAATGTTTGGTAGAGTTTCCTGGGGAATCCATCAGGTCCTGGAGTCTTGTTTTTAGGGAGGTTTTTGATCACTGCTTCAATCTGGTTACTGGTTATTGGCCTATTCAGGTTGTCAATTTCTTCTTGTTTCAGTCTTGGGAGTTTATAGGTTTCCAGGAAGGCCTCCATTTCATCCAGGTTGCTCAGCTTATTGGCATATAATTGTTGATAATAATTTCTAATAATTGTTTCTATTTCCTGGGTGCTAGTTGTAGTCTCTCCCCTTTCATTCATAATTTTATTAATTTGGGTCCTTTCTCTTTTCTTTTGGATAAGTCTGGCCAGCGGTTTATCGATCTTATTCTTTCAAAGAACCAGCTTCTAGTTTCGTTTGATCTGATCTACTGTGTTTCTGGTTTCTAATTCATTGATCTCTAATCTTAATTATTTCTCTTCTAATGTGTGGCTTAGGCATTGTTTGTTGTGTTTTCTCTAGTTCTTTAAGGTGTAAAGTTAGTTGGTGAATTTGGGATTTTTCTGTTTTCTTGAGTGAGGCTTGGATGGCTATGTATTTCCCCCTTAGGACTGCCTTTGCAGTATCCCATAGGTTTTGGACTGATGTGTTTTCATTCTCATTGGTTTCCATGAAATGTTAAAGTTCTTCTGTGATTTCCGTGTTGACCCAAACATTCTTGAGCAGAGTGGTCTTTAGCTTCCAAGTGTTTGAATTTCTTCCAAATTTTTTCTTGTGATTGAGTTCCAGTTTTAAAGCATTATGGTCTGAGAATATGCAAGGAATAATCTCAATCTTTTGGTATCAGTTGAGACCAGATTTGTGACCCAGTATGTGGTCTATTCCAGAGAAAGTTCTATATGCGCTCGAGAAGAATGTGTATTCTGTTGTTTTAGGGTGGAGTATTCTGTATATATCTATGAGGTCCATCTGGTCCAGTGTTTCATTCAAAGCTCCTGTTTCTTTGTTGATTTTCTGCTTAGATGATCTGTCTATTGCTGAGAGTGGAGTACTGAGGTCTTCTACAATTAATGTATTATTATCAATATGACTATTTTGGTTAGATGGCTGCTCTCATGTTGGGGGTGTAGATATTTACAATTATTAGATCTTCTTGTTGGATAGACCATTTAAGAATGATATAGTGTCCTTCTTTGTCTCTTACTACAGTCTTTAGCTTAAAATCTAGTTTATCTGATATAAGAATTGCTACCCCAGCTTTCTTTTGAGTTCCGTTGGTATGGAAGATGGATCTCCATTCCTTCACTTACAGTCTGGATGTATCTTTAGGTTCAAAATGAGTCTCTTGTAGACAGCATATGGATGGGTCCTGTCTTTTTATCCAATCTGCCACCCTGTGCCTTTTTATGGGAGCATTTAGGCCATTCAGGTTGAGAGTGATTATTGAAAGATATGAATTTAGTGTCATCATGTTGCCTGTGAAGTCCTTGTTTCTATAGATTGTCTCTGTAAATTTCTGTTCTATATCACTCTTGGGGTCTTTCTCCTTTTATAGAACCCCCCTTAATATTTCTTGCTGGACTGGCTTACTGGTCACATATTCTTTCAGTTTCTGCTGGTCTTGGAAGCTCTGCATCTCTCCATCCATTCTAAATGATAGCCTTGCTGGATAAAGTATTCTTGGCTACATGTTCTTCTCATTTAGTACCCTGAATATGTCTTGCCAGATCTTTCTGGCTTGCCAGGTCTCTGTGGATAGGTCTGACGTTATTCTGATGTTCTTCCCTCTGTATGTAAGGAATCTCTTCCCCTATCTGCCCTTAAGATGGTTTCCTTGTTTCTAAGATTTTTGAGTTTTACTATTACATGCCAGGGCATTGGCCTGTTTTCCTTCATCTTGGGAGGAGTCTCCTCTGCCTCTAAAACACAGATGTTTGTTTCATTCCCCAGATTAGGGAAGTTCTCAGTTATAGTTTGCTCAAATTTATCTTCTAGTCCTCTCTCTCTCTCCACCCCCTCTGGAATTCCAATAATTCTGACACTGGAACTTTTCATGGTGTCACTTATTTCTCTGATTCTGTTTTCATGGATTTTGAATTGTTTCTCCCTGGCTTCCTCTTTAGCCTTCTTTTCTATCACTTGGTCTTTTAGATCACTAATTCATTCTTCTGCCTTGCTTACCCTAGCTGTTAGATTGTCTAGATTAGATTGGATCTCACTGATAGCATTTTTAATTTCTGTCAGTTCAGCTTTCATTTCTGCCCTTAGAGACTCTATGTTGCCATTAATCTATTTCTCCATTCTAGCTATTTTCTTCACAACTGCTACCCTGAATTCCATTTCCGACATCTTGGTTATATCTGTATCCATTTAT